CACTCTCCTGAGTGAGCCATGGGCCGGCTCCATGATTTCTTTTTTTCTGATACGGTTGGGGGTGTATCAATTTCACTGTATCTGTTTTGGAGGTTCAGATTATCTTGAAAAGAAAGAGTAAATAAAATGACAAAGTATATGGAACTGATTCTCAATACATTGGACATCAGACAAACAATGGTGATCTATGAGAAAGGGCAAACAAATGATGTGAGCCACATGACTGTCTCAGGTTACTGTGAAAATAAATTCTCAGGCCCTAATGCAAGGATGGAGAGCCCAGGCAGAGGCCAAAAAGTCCTCCTGAATTAAGGAGACAGAGCTGGTGGTCCAGGTTTGCCAGGGTAGTTGGAGTCCATAGAGCAGAGTATAGGAGAGAGAAAAGATGTACAGAGGGCCATTCTCAAGCATTCAGCTGTGTGCTAATCTGTATATGCATGCAGAAAAGTACCAGAGGATAGTAAAATATCACCTGAAAGGATGACATGGAGCAATTCCCAAGGCTCATACAGAGACCAGAGTAATTCCAATTTCAACCAGCTTGAATGAAAAATTTCATAATTCATGAAGCATCAAGTATCCAATGCAGAAGGACTATGTCTTAGTAGTGGGAGGAGAATTAGCCTTAAAATGAATGTTGCAATAGTCCCATCTAAAAAGGCTTAGAAACAAGATCCCAAAAGATCATACTGTTTCCAAGTAACATAACCGTATAAAAGAAAAAAAATCAAGAATATCTACAAAAACACAAAAATTTTTAGTACCCAAACAGGCAAAACTCAGCATCCAATCAAAATTAAACCCTGTTAACACTATAAGACAAAGTAGATTTCAGAGCAAAGATTACCATAGATAAAGAGGTGAACTACTTAAGTGGACATAATAGGAAATGTTTATTCAACTAATAAAAAGGCTTCAAAATACATGAAGCAAAAACTGATAGAAATACACAGAGAAATGGGTAAATCCACTTTTATATTCAGAGATTTCAACAATTCTCTTCAAATAGCTGGTAAAAAACCAGAGCTAAAACACAGAATATCAGTAAGGATACAGAAAACTTAAATAACATTATCATCTTGTCCTAGTTGACATCTGTAGAATCCTTCAGCAAACAAGAGTACAATACACACTATTCAAGTGAACATGCAGCATTTACCATGACAGCCCATATTCTGGGCCAGAAAGCAAGTCTTAATAAATGTAACAATTCAAGACATAAAGTAGGTACTCTGACCACAATGGAATTAAATTAAAAATTTCCAGCAAGATATGGAAAGTTCCTATATATTTGGAAACAAATAACACACTTCTAAAAAGAGCCATGTTACAAAGAAGAAATTAAAATGAAAATACAACATATCTAATTTTGTGGGAGGCAACTACAGCAGTTGTTACAGTTCAGTGCATTACTAAGAAATTAAGAAGAAAAATAAATAAATAAATAAATAAAGCAGTTCTTACAGGACAAATTTTAGCATTAAGCACCGATATTAGGAAATAAACAAAGGTTTCAAATGAAGGATCTCAGTTTCCATGTTAAGAAGTAGCAAAAGAAGAAAAATGAAATCCAATAAAAGCAGAAGGCAACAGTAAAGGTCAAAATGGAAAAAAAAAAGAACAAAAACAGAGAAATCAGTCAAAGCAAGTGCTTAAAGAAGATCAATAAAATTGATAAACCTGCAGCCAAACTGATCAAGAATAAATGAGAAATATAGACAATATTAGTATGAGGAATAAATCTTGAGAGGTGGCATCACTATAGATTCTGCATATGTTAAAATAGTAAGAAGAAAATATTTTGAAAAATTTGACTACTTAAATGAAAAAACTCCTTGAAAGACACAAAACAAGGCTCACTCTAGAAAGCATACATACACACACACACACACACACAAACACATATGCAAATGAATATGTATGTATGTATAACTTGTGGACCTCTCTATCGACAATGGAAATTAAACTTGCAATTAGAAACTTGCCCACAAAACAAACTCCAGGCCCATGTAGCGTCACTGGTGAATTCTATGAAACATTTAAGAAAGAAATAATACCAATTCTTCACAAACTCTTTTGGAAAATCAAAGAGTAAGGAATACTTTGCAATTTATTCTGGAAAGGCAGTATTATGTTGATACCAAAGGTAAACTCAGGCATTAAAGAAAATTAGAGACTAACAGCCCACATGAACATAGATGCAAAATTCTTATAAGGAAAAAAATTCCAAGCAAATTAAACAAAACATAGAAAGAGTAATACATCATGACCAAATGAGAGTTATCTTAGCCATGCAAGGTTGGTTTAACATTTCAAAATCAGTCAATATAATTCACATTAAAAGACTGAAAAAGAAAAACACACAAGATAATGGTCACCAACATCCACGAAAAAAACCTACAATTCCCTACTTCCTTGTATTTTCACCTTTGTTTACCTCCCTTCCACCTTTTATCATGATTAGTCAGTGTCACCTATAGAATATATCAGGGTGGCAGGGGAGGGAGAGTGGGTGGAGGGGTAGGGAGGAAAGGGGCAGGGGGCAGGAAAAAAAAAAGAAATGATGGTGCATTACCTTTAGGTTAAAATTATAACAGATACTGTAGATCGGTTCTTCTGTGAGTTCTCTCCTGGATCACTTGATTTGGAACTATTTCTCTACTTTGGAACACTCTCAGCAAAAGTACGAATGAAAAGGAATAAACTACCAAAACAAAGAAAAACACAGATGAATCACAACATAATTACACAAAGTTAAAGGAACCAGATACATTAGAGTACATACCAAATTACTCTATATAGAGAAAATTCTAGAAAATGGAAAAAGCCCTACAGTGACATCATTAGATCAGTGGTTGCCTGAGGATGTGAGGATGGGTGAGGGGGAGGGAGGGATTATAAATGGAATCAGAAAACTTTTGGTTTCACAGCTGCAAATGTATCAAAACTTATAAAACTGTACCCTATAAATACATGTCATTTATTGCAGAAAACGTTTAGACTGACTGCTCTTACAGTGATCTTAGCCATAGGAGACATGGTATGGGAGTCTTTAGAATCTCTGTAAACCCTCATAACAAAGGCATAGTGATGGAAACATACATGGATACAACTTTAGAAAACTCATATTCTCTCTAGCTTGCTGCAGTGTTCCAAGTTCCTATTAATTAGTGTTTCTGTACCAATTGTGATACCCACTTGGTCCTTTTAGGGGACAGGCAGTTATACCCACCTATCAAATAATCTTGTCAGGTAGCAGGCCAAGTTCTCCTCAAGGGGGCTGGGGAATATGAAATATCCTCTGAGAACAAGGGACTCAATTCATACTGCTCCCAGACACACTAGAGATTGTCACAACAAATGCCCACTGCTCAGAGTGACCTTGGTCATATAAATAATCTTGGCATATGGACCACAAAAGTAGGCCCACAGAAATCACTACTCTTTGTCAGGATGGCTTAAGCAACAGTGCAAGTTAGACTGATACTCCAATGAGAGCTATTCTTTGCCATCCTACTATCACCTCTGAGACACAAAGAGTTGGAGCTCTCACAAAAGCTGTTCATACCTTCATGCTGCCAGAGCCCAATACTGCTCTCAATCCAACCCACAAAGTGAACAGAATCCCTAAGATTAAAGTAGTGTAAAAATCAAAGCATTTGTTGCAAAATCAGAATATGAGGCAGGCAAATTCAGGTTAGGTGTCTTAGAGACTGGACAAATCCTTCACAAGTGCCACATGAGACCAACAATATTCACAAAGGGAAACCTTCTCTGTAAGCAGCCACCAGAACAAAGCTCACATCATCCTGGCCAAAACTGGGTCATATGCATGTTTAAAGCAGTCAGGGGCGTGAGGGGTGGGGGCTGGGCAGGAAGGAGCAAGGATCCTCAATGTGCTCAGGCTATTGATGAGTCACTTTAGGGGACAAGGAGCACAGAATTCTGCCTTTTAAAGCACACTGGGATGACTTACATACAATGCAGGACTCTGCCAGTGTAAAGATAGGTGGAATCTGTAAGAGGCACAGGCAGTTACATTACAGCAAGGATCCTGGGCAGGTTAGACAATGCAACATAGCTCCAGAAAGTTTCCCCTATAGCTGGTACCCAGAAGAATCTCCCCAGGATGAGTGTTCAAATGCATGAGGTTGATCTGGCTGATAGCTACACACAAAGGCTACTCTCAGAGCTTCTCTCTAGTGTTAGTCATTATGGTGAAGAGATGGCATATTCCCTGCTATCCTAAGGCCTTCCTCCAGTGTGACCTTTCCAGTGATGGATGAGGGAGGCCCTTAGCCTGAAGGCCTTACCACACTGGGGAAAAATAGCCTAAGTGATTCATTTTCAAGAATAGTTTAACAAGGGTTGCTTGACTAATTTGTGGTGTGATAACCCCTGAAAGTACACTTTCTCTAGGTTCACTTCTCAAGATGGTGGCTGGTCACGTTGTTCTTTTTACTTCCTGGTTCTTCCTCCTCAGGACTTCTTTTTTTTTTTTTAAGATGACCCGTAAGGGGATCTCAACCCTTGGCTTGGTGTTGTCAGCACTGTTGTTCTTTTTACTTCCTGGTTCTTCCTCCTCAGGACTTCTTTTTTTTTTTTTTAAGATGACCCGTAAGGGGATCTCAACCCTTGGCTTGGTGTTGTCAGCACCACGCTCAGCCAGTGAGCAAACCGGCCATCCCTATATGGGACCCAAACCCGTGGCCTTGGTGTTATCAACACCGCACTCTACCGAGTGAGCCACGGGCCGGCCCTCTCCTCAGGACTTCTGGCAGGCCTTTTTTGCAGGCTTCTCCTGAGCCCACCCCTTTCCGCCAGAGGGAAGGGGACAATAAATGACTTATAAGGAAGTTTTATTAGACTACATTTGGGAAGATTGTGCACTCCATAGTACTCAGCTAATGAGGAACTGGGGGAAGGACTTGTGCACTAGGTAATAAACTGCTTGATGTAACCATTTTGGGTGTGCCTGTCCCATTCACAGACACCTGGACCTTGCAAGGCCGTTATTAAAGTCTTGCTTCGCTGTACCTCACATCTCTTTGTTCACCCTTTGGCACTGGATGGGTGAGGGCATTTCCCTCACACTCACTGCACTTACATGGCCTTTCTCCAGTGTGAATTCTATGGTGCTGAACAAGTACATGTTTGTGGCTAAAGGCTTTTCCACAGTTGCTGCACACATAAGGCTTTTCACCATTGTGAACTCTTTGGTGTGCAATAAGGTCAGAGCTTTGACTAAAGAATTTCCCACATGCAATGCACTCATAAGGCTTTGTGCCAGTGTGAACACTCCAGTGTTTAATGAGTCTGTATTTGTGACCAAAGTATTTCCCACATTCACTACACTCATAAGGACTTTCTCCAGTGTGGATACTCCTGTGCTGAACAAGTGTGGACTTGTGGCTATAGGCTTTCCCACATTCACTGCACTTGTAAGGCCTCACTCCAGTGTGTACTCTCCGGTGTACAATAAGGTTAGAGCTACGATTAAAAACTTTCCCACAAATGCCACACTCATAAGGCATTTCTCCAGTGTGGATTCTCTGGTGCTGAGCAAGTATTGGTTTGCGGCTGAAGGTTTTCCCACATTCACCACACTCATAAGGCCTTTCTCCAGTGTGGATACTCTCGTGCTGAACAAGTGTGGATTTGTGGCTGTAGGCTTTCCCACATTCACTGCACTTGTAAGGCCTCACTCCAGTGTGTACTCTCCGGTGTACAATAAGGTTAGAACTATGATTAAAAACTTTCCCACATATGCCACACTCATAAGGCATTTCTCCAGTGTGGATTCTCTGGTGCTGAGCAAGTATGGGTTTGCGGCTGAAGGTTTTGCCACATTCACCACACTCATAAGGCCTTTCTCCAGTGTGGATTCTCTGGTGCTGAGCAAGTATGGGTTTGCGGCTGAAGGTTTTGCCACATTCACCACACTCATAAGGCCTTTCTCCAGTGTGGACTCTCTGGTGCTGAACGAGTGAGTCCTTGCGGCTGAAGGCCTTCCCACATTCGCTGCACTTGTACTGCCTTTGTCTACTGTGAAACACCTGCTCACACTTGGTGTTAGTGTGTGGCTTCCACTCATTTGCAGGTTCATGGTGCTGGAAAATGCTTGAGCTGGTTGGGAAATCCTTACAACACTTCCCTGTAATAAAAGGTATCTCTGATGCTTGGACAGGGCAGCTATTCACAAGAAAGGTCCTACCCTCCTCTCTTCTACAGAATTTTTCTCCACAGTGCTCCTTCTGGTGCTGGTGAAGATTCGGACTGAACCAGGATTGTTTCCCACATCCCACACACATGTATAGTTTCTGCCCCGGGTGTGTTTCCTGGTGCTTAGCCAATAGCAAAATATCTTTTAAGACCAGGCCACATGTCTCACAGGGATAGGTTTTCTGGGTAGAAGGGCCTTCCTTGAGAGTCCTGATCTGTGACACTTCTTCTACAGAAATGCTCTGCTCAAAAGTTGTCTCCTCACCCTCCATTCCGTGCCCACAACCTGAAAATAAGGAAATACTGGTGAAGTACCAACTGACACAGGTGGGAGGGGGTAGCCTCATTATAAATGTGTGTCTAACACAACTAAGATCAAGATCATAGGACTGATATCAGGACAAGGAGCTGAGTTCAAGTTGAGTAAAGGTCTGCTCTGCAGTAGTTGGCATCTAAAGGTCATATAATGGAGGAAGCCTCAACTGAGAGAGGACACAAATGTGAGGTACAGCATGGGATGAAGAGACAGGGTCTCCAATGAAGTCATTCACAATTGGATTTCACTGGATGCTGGCAACAGGGGAGAGTTGTGCTAAAGGGTATGCCATTCCCAAGAAAATCAAGTTGCTATTCAGTAGCTGTTGTTCAAGGACTGCTTGGAGTATGTGCACATTTCATGACACATTAAGTACAGGCCAATGTCGGAGAGCGCTGCAGAGGGATCAGTGGAGAACAACAAGTGAGATGTGGAGGCAGAAGCATGGAATAGGCAGAGGTGTGGAATACACAGAGGCCAAGGTCACAGCAAAAAGGACAAGCAGACAGAAATGAAGTGTGGCCAGGGACCCTGACACTAAAACAACTGTGGACATAGAGAGGTTATGGAATAATTAGAGCTCAGCCCTGACATTACACCTCCCACTCACCAGGGCCACATCCACCTAGAGTCTCTCCGGCAATGGTTGGAGTCATGTCCACCCAGTCAGGTATGCAGGGCTCATTGCCCAGCTCCAGTAAGGCAGCTACAAGGGACATGGAAGATGCACGTCCTAAGGGAAAGACAGAACAGGTGAATGACCAGCACCAGATTGGATGACCAACTCCACAGAAAAGAAAACTAAATATTATTTAAAAAAATTTCAGAGTCAGGTCTTGTAGGAATAGCCCAATGGTCCCGAGATGTAGTGACCATACTCATCCTTGCAATTCCTGGCACAGGCAGATTACAGAAAATGTCAGCTAAAGGAAGGGGACAGAGTCTTGGGCACAGAGATGCCATGGATATGAACAGAGGCATCCAATTAAGGAGAGGACAAGAAAGGCTGACTTGTCACTGGGCTGACTGTAGGATGCTTGACTCCTGGATCCATCCCTACAAGTCTTTGGAACAGCAGATCTTGGGACTGCTCAGGAGCAGGAGATAGCAGTGCACACAGCCCAGGCCCAGCATTCACAGCAGCTACTCCAGGGATATGGGAAAGTAAATTGTGCCCATGGCTCTGTTGTAGAAAAGACAGGGCTTCCCTGGGAAAAAGAGGAACAGCAGTATCCAGTCAAGGGGTGGGTGTGACGGCCTTACCTAAAGAAGCCATAAGTGCAACATTCTCCAACATCACATCTCGGTACAGGCATCTCTGAGCCTTATCAAGAAGCTGCCACTCCTCCTGGGAGAAATAAATAGCCACGTCTTCAAAGTTCACCTGCCCCTGCCACAATGGGGGGAGAGGAGTCCATGAGTAGCCTCTTTCCCAAGGACCCCACCCATCTCCATCCGGTACACTCTTCTATCTAGCTCTTCAACTCAGAGGAAATACTGGATGCCATTGGTGTCTGCTCTCTCCTTGGGGTCCCATTGGTCACTGTGTCCACCCACAGCAACAGGCAGATGGACAGAAAGGTACTATCTAAGCTCTGGGCCTGGCATACAAGGCCCCACCCTTCTGTTGGCTAATTTCCCTGGGGTCACTAAGATCTTGCTTACCAGACAACCAAAGCTGGAATCACCTTTCTCCCTTAACCCTTTACCAGGGCCGAGGGGTCATTAGTCTACACTCCTTTCCACATGCACATCATTCTTTGGGTCACATCTGTCTCATAACTCTGGCCCTCCACCCAGCCAGTGGCCTCCACCATCATTTTCCTGCTCACTAACTGCACTATCACTGTGATGGGAAGATTCTCCTCCTAAATCCCAGTCTACATATCATCTTCTACCCTTGGATGTCTTTACAGGACTCCAGTCCAGTGTGTCCAGCAGCCCACTTGACACCTCCACTCAGTGTTCTCTGGAACACCCCAGACTCTTCATATGGCCAGAAATAAACTTTTCATTTCCACACTAATAGTTACTTTTGCCAACGACTTGCCCATCTCAGATAATAGAGCTTCTAGTCTTTCAGCTAATAAGGTTAAAAACCTTGGCATTATCTCTTTTTCTCTCTCACAATGGCAAACCTGATCCAATTACTTTCCCCATCTACACAGTCACCCCCTATGGCCCATCTATTGTGACCAATCACCAGAAATATTGTAGTAGCCTCCTCCCTGGTCTCCTTGCCTCCACCACAATTCCCCCAACTCCCACCAGTCTGTTCTATACTTGGCATCCAGAGAGAGCTGTTAAGACCTGGACCACATTACCTCCCTCCTCTGCTCCATATTTCCCATGGCTACATCACCTTCTGAATAGAGACCTAGCTCCTCAGCCAGCCATTTCAGGCTTAACTCCTGCCCCTCTGCTCTTGGTTCCTTTCTACCACACCTGTAGTTTCTTGAAAACTCCATCTCAGTTTCACTCTAAGTATTTTCACATGTTGGTTGCTGTGCATGGAACAACCTTGCAATCTTATTCCAGTGTTACCAGAAATGGGAACTGCTCCACATAACCCCTGACCTGGACTCAGGACCCTGGGATTGGGGTTTCTCCAGGATCCTTAGACTCTAGAGATCAGAGAATAGCAAGAAACTTCTATATGACATCACAATCCTGGAGACCATGTGTGTGGGGGTGGGATCAGTGACAACATCCTCCCCTCACCTGTAAAGGGTCCATAATTACTTCTGAGTTCATGGAAACCTGTGGGAAAAGCAAGATTGTGAGGCAAGCAACCATGAAGAAGCCCTAAGGACCCACGTCTGTCTCCTATTCCTGCACTGCTACAAAGAAACCTGGGGCTGACTGTCTACCCTCTATGCCTCAGTCTTCAGGAACACCTCTTTTTTTTTTTTTTTTCCTTTTTTTTTTTTTTTTCAGAAATGGGAACCCCTCCACAGAACCCCTGACCTTGACTCAGGACCCTGGGATTGAGGTTTTTCCAGGATCCTTACACCCAAGAGATCAGAGAATAGCAGGAAACTGTTCTATGTGACATCACAATCCTGGAGACCATGTGGGTGGGGGTGGGATCAGTGAGAGCATCCTCCCCTCACCTGTATAGGGTCCATAATTACTTCTGAGTTCATGGAAACCTGTGGGAAAAGCAAGATTGTGAGGCAAGCAACCATGAAGAAGCCCTAAGGACCCACGTCTGTCTCCTATTCCTGCACTGCTACAAAGAAACCTGGGGCTGACTGTCTACCCTCTATGCCTCAGTCTTCAGGAACACCTCTTAACAACTGTGTTGCCTTGGATTAGTTCTCAATCATACTGTGCCTTCTGAGTTGATGGAAACCTGTGGGAAAAGCAAGACTGTGAGGCAAGCAACCATGAAGAAGCCCTAAGGATCCACATCTGTCTCCTATTCCTGCCCTTCTACAAAGTGACCTGGGGCTGACTGTCTACCCTCTATGCCTCAGTCTTCAGGAACACCTCTTAACAACTGTGTTGCCTTGGATTAGTTCCCAATCTTACTGTGCCCCACTGTCCTCATCACTCCCCTATTCCCACCCCAAGCTGTTCTCCTTCGAACAGTCTATGGAATAGTTTTTAAATCCTCAGATCATTGCTCTCCTCTGTTCAGAACTTCCCATGGTTCCCATCACTCTCAGAATAGAGGCCCCAGCTGATTAGGCTGATATTCCAGGTGTGACTCCTCCTCACACGCTCTGATCCTTTCAGACACACCAAAGACCCCAGGTTCCCAAATGTTCCAGTTGTGTCACACGGACAAACGGGGTTGGGCTGCAGTAACCCGAGAAGCCCCCCATTCGAAGCTTCAGGATTCAGAGATAGGTGTCGGGGCGAGAAGCCGGAGACACAGAACCCACCTGCACCGGTTCCATCAGCGCAGCCACCGCCATCGGAGCCTGTGAACTAGGAAATGGGGACGGCAAATACTGAGATGTGAGCTCCACAATACAGGGCCTGGCCCACCGGCCGCGTCACTCGCGCGCCGCCACCGCAGACCCTCAGGCCCGAAACTGTTTAAAGAAGACAACACCTTCTCTCACGTTTTCGCTTTCCTGTCACCTCGGGTCTGTCTGACACTCCCTTCCGAAGACTGACCGGTGAATCAATCGAAAAGCAACCAAAATGTCCGCCAGAGAGGGGAATAGGAAGTCCCGCCCCGACGTCTGGAACGGAAACGACCTTTTTCTGGGCCTTCATTGGCCCAGAGCTGGTAAGGCTTCTGGGTAATGTAGTTCCCATGGCACTAACTGTTGTTAGGGAATTCCGTGGGACCTTCCGGGCAAAGAGCCAGCCACAATGTTAGAAATGGTCTCTAGAGTCTCTAGGGTTTAAGCGGAGCTTCGCTTCTTGTTAGAGAAGCGCATCTATATTTCCGGTGAGTGTAGTCATATCCCAGACATGTTTAGAGACATATTATTTCAAGCTTCCTTACGCAGAGTATGCCGATCAATAACCCAAATGGACACACCATAAGTTAATGTCACTCTTTTTTTCTTCATTTTTGTCAGTCTTCTATAGCTGGGAGCTAAAAAATATTATGTTGTTTTCAAATACAGGTAAGGTTGAAGTTCTACACTTAGTTTTGTGTGCCTTAGTATTTGGGGTCATGCACAAGAAAGAAAAGACTTCACACACTGCAGTGGCGTGAAACATGGAGTAGGGATGTTAGCCTTGAAGTGTGTAGATAATGCTGGTGTCTCTTGTTACCTTAGAAAATATTTCTCTCGCCTATACAGTCTGTGACCGTCAAACTCAGCGAGTAACACTATTTTTCAAGATAATACAAGGGTACTTCAAAAAGTTTATGGAAAGATTAGTATTATTTTTTAATTCTATTTTTCCACACATTCTATATACAGAGATGTATTCAATAACTTTTTGGTATCTTACAGGTAATGAAAAGATGGAAGATCTACCAAATGTCATTTGGCAATCAAAAGTGCAACATGAACAGTTTCTGTGTAGACGTAAAACCATCAAACTAAATTTCTACACACAACAAAAATGTCTTTTAAAAAGTGTGACATAAAATTATTTGAGGCTTAAAATAATAAATGTAATGGAAATACACATATACAGAAAATAAATTTCTTAACATAATACTCAAGGCCAAAGAAAGTTGAAGGAAGGTGAAAGGTATGCGATGAAAGAAGAAATGAAGATGGAGAGAGAGGTGCATTTTTTGATTAGAGTAACAGCTCATTACTGTGTAAAACATGATTATATCTCCTTATGGAATTAGAATGATAAAACTCTCATGAATAACTTTAGTAACATATAAATTGAAAGGGGGCTGATGACTGCACAACATTGTGCTAAATGCCATTGAACTGCATACTTTAAAATGGCTAACGTAGTAAATTTCATTTTATGTATACTTTATCACAATAATAGTGATAATAATATAATACTATAGATATAAAGTACTATAAAAATTGGAAGAAGGCTAATTGCTCAATGCTTTAAATCTTTTATACATTTAAGAGGAAAGTAAGTGTATTTACAACATACTGTAATGTATTAAATATTTGCAATTTTTAGCTTAAATATAATGAATTGAATATATGCTTTTCAAACTACAAGAGGAAAAATTTGGAATATAAATAATCGATAGAAAGGTAAAATAATGGTAAAAGGAGTGGAACAAGTGAGGCAAAAAACAAAAACAAAAACCACACAACATAGGGTGTATGTAAACCTAAGTGAATATGGAATAAATGCTCAAACGAGCCTTTAGCAATTTCCGATGGGCCGAAACACCCTTCACAAGGGATTCTTTTTGACTCAGTGAATTTCCACAGCAGTTTTTGAATTTTAATTGAAAATACAACCATTATTCTATGGTGATTCCCCCCAACCTCCCTACTATCCCATCAGTGAGTGTTGTGAGGCATCCTCCCACAAGAAATGCACTTACACGCCACTCATGCCGAAAGGGCAGTTTATTCACTCCAGCTGGCCAGCATCCATCTCCCAAGGAGCAACCAAGGAACAGCGGCCTTGGACCTCGGTCTTGTAGGGTTTTTAAAGGCAAAAACTACATCCCATTGGCACACGGGTTTGTCCAGGCACACAAAGCAAGCTAGGGAGCTAGGTCACAGAGGCCGAGAATGAGCTGTTAGAGCAATCAAGCATACAGTTTTCATTGTGTATGGTTCCTGTTCCCATGTAATAATTCACTGTGTATGGCTCCTGTTTCTATGCAATTGTTTTTTGTTTCTTTGAGAAGGTCAATGGTTTCTGATGCAGAAGGAGGTGGGGGTAGTCTGCAGGTCAGGCAGGGGGAAAAATGGAGTTACTTAGGTTAAGCAAATCATTCTACAGAAGCAGATAGCATACGTTATGAGGATGTAGGGAGCTTTATTTCAAGAGAAGAGAATTATGTTGTGGTTAGGAATGTTCAGTATTTGCTTTAGAGAAGCCAAGTCCTCATGTTTTAAGGTTATCAGGCCTTTGACCCAAACAAATTGCCTGAGATGTCATCAGGAAACTGCAGGTCAGCAACATCATCTTGTTAGTAAGATGAAAGTGGAGTAAGACACTATAAAGGGGTAAGACCATGAGTGATAATAATTATAACAATAACTGACATTTACTAATCATGTTCATTTCCTGGACTTTGCATTATACGTTTTACAGACACGATGCCTTTTTACCTGCACAACAGCCCTGTGAAGTGGATTTGTCACCCAAATTAATATGAGAAAGCTGAGGCTTCAAAGGGTCCATGACTTGCCCTTAATCATGACTGTTAAGTGTCATAGTTGAAAATGGAGTCCAAAGAGCCACAACTAACTACTTCCTAATATGGCTTCCTACTCAAGGTCATCTGTCTGGCCTACTTCAGGGCCCCTTCTGTGTTGGAGAAATGAGGCCATAAAAAATTCAACTGCCCAGGAAACTGACATGAGGACAAGAACAAGTCTTGCCTTTTCTTTGTCCTAGAAACATGGGCCTTCAGCTTCACTTATTCCATAAACATGTGTTTACTGAATGCTGACCAAGAAATCTGAACAGGAAAAGCCTTGCTGACCTACAGATAGAGTCCAAGCAGGGAACTGTTATAGCCTGAGCCTCAGTTCATCATCCCAACCATCCACATGTCTTGCCACCTCTGCTTCCTAATATGTCCCAGATCATCTCCTTACCAACACCTCCAACTCCACCCCCTGTGGGCTGGTCTACCAGCTTGCATTCCTGAACTACACAACAACCTCAGCCTTGTCTTTTATATGAGTTCTGTCCCTGCCTCAGCTCATGCTCCACATATCATGCAGAAGGTGACTTCAAAACGAATCAGGTTCTATTTGGAAAATTCAGGTGAATCAGAAGGACATTGGTGGCTAGAAGGGGAAGGGCCTCAGTCTTCCTTGTTACCTACCCTCTTAATTATTGCCCCAGAGTTAGTAACGTGTTACCTATCTGTAGTGGCCCCACCAGGAATTTCTCTATTGTTTTGATTCTCAGACTCACTGCTGCTGTCTACTTTCTGGGAATTCTTCCTCAGCAGAGAAGTCAGGTAATGTTTCTAAGTTAACCCACTTTCTGACTTGCACCTCATCTCTCCTTTACAGGGAGAACTAAAATCAGTTCCTGCCAAACCTAGAAGGCCAGTGAGCAGGAGATTTAAAAGCTGTGTTACAGATTTGGTGCTACTCTTCATGAATCATGAAATCTCAGTGACAATCCAAGTCCACTGGCCAGCATCGAGAGCATAGCTATGTGCCTTTTATGTGAGGGTAGAATCTTGTTGCGTGTAGGGAAACTGTTTAATAGAAGATGTAGGTGGATGGTGTCCAACTAAGAATTCCTCAGTGAAAATATAATATGACTTCTGTTCCACATAAAGTCAATGATTTTGTCATCCTCTGCTTTGAAAATGGACTAAGTTTTCTCAACCCTAAGATAGAAGCCAAGCCAAAGAAACACAAAGAAGCAGGACTTCACTGAAGGAGCCCTAAAGATCACTGAAGCATGGATCATTGCATATCACAGTCTTTAAACACACACAAACACACACACACAATAATTGTACTGTCTATCCACATCCTTATTAGTCATATCTCATTAGGGCTATACTCTATGCCACTTACGGTACATACAGCTCTAAATTCTAGTCATTCTCCTGACAGAATTCCAATGAAGGAAGAAGACGAGAATTCATCAGATTCACATGAGTATAAACTGCAAATTAGGCAAAATCATGTTAGAAGACTGAATGCTAGAAGTCAGAAATTCCAGAATTTAGACCTCCTTGGTGGGTTCGTCATTTACAGGAAGTGTTACAGAGATGCTGGGATTTTGACACTGTTCTTTCCTTGATTGGCGCGCTGCTCTCAGAGATGTGTTAACCTTGGGCATATAAATAGAGATGGACAACTACAACATGTTAACTTTTGTGAATATCATTTGTGAATTAAAATCTACCAAATGTTTATGTTAATAAACCTCAAGTGTCCACTGAATACTGTTATGCAATTCTATTAATTCTCCCCAATGTTTCCTGCTCACTTTCATTCACAAATTCTATTTTCTCTCTAGTCCTGGTTCATATTCTTGGTCTAATTTCTGCTTATTTACTAACCTCATATCACTTTTTTAGATTAAATTAAATTTTACTTTATTTATTTTTCACAGCTGGCTGATTCATTTTTATTTTAGAAAAATAAAATGACAGGAAGTTTCCACTGTGTACCCACCCTGCAATTGACAAGGGTAGCTCCAGAAGCACCTTTATTCTCTTCTCTTCCCCAAATGTAAAAGAAAGTATCCTGATATAGTCAAAAGCCAGCATGCCATGTGTTATGATGCCTGTCCCCTCTCGATAGCGAAAGAGATTTGCCCCTGCTGTTTTCCATTTTCTCTTTGTGTTAGCTCTTTTGTGATATTC